TCGCCGCCGTCCCCCCGCCCCGGCCAGAGCCGCAATCCGTCCCCGAGTAGCGAGCAGTCTCCCCGTGACCGACCGACTGACTAATCCCCCCAAGCATGATGTTATATGGTATGGAATAGCTCTTTGGTCAGTTTGGGTTAGCTGTGCTAGCTGTGCTGTACTCCCAGCTTGTTATGCACCTGGCTGAGCAGGAGAAGCTCAAAAAGTCCTTGAGTAGTCTGAGCACTACTTGGCAACAGCTGAAAACATCAGTGTGTTATCAACATTCTTTTGGTACTAAATCCAAAACACAGCACTATGCTAGCTACTATGAAGAAAATTAACTCTATCCCAGCCGAAACCAGGACACACACTTTTTTCTAGAAATGAAACTTTTTGTACTTAAGTCATTCTAAAGTTGCCTACTGAGAGGATAGAGCTCTTCTGGCTTAACAACTAGCAGAGTTCTCGGGATCTATCACTGAATTGCAGGCATTTCAACCAGACTAAGCTGATCTGATGTCATACTGTTTTAGCATTAGTTGCTTGTTACTAATTTCCCCAACACAGAGAAGGAGAGGTGGTCGGCAAAGGGTAATGGATATTTTGGAATATAAGCAAAATCAGATTTGCAGGAGGAGCATCTGTTTGTCTCATGCCATGGAGATACAAAAAGTCTGTGCAATGATCTTGAGATTTTTGCCTCTTCTTTCCCACACAGGTTGCCCAGCTGCCTATGAAACTTGACTCAGAAGTGATGGAAAATGGGGAAAACTTTTCAGTTGGAGAGAGACAGTTACTGTGCATAGCTAGAGCTCTACTGCGCCATTGCAAGGTGAGCATAGTGATGACAGAAATAGCTGGAGATAGCAAACTGATAGTATTGAGCAAGCCTTTTTTGTGCCAGATTCATTCTATCTGTTAGAGGAATCACACCAACAGTTATTGCAACCCACAGATGGTGTAGAGTTAGAACAACTAGAAAGACATCTGTAGCCAACTGCAGAAATGCATTGTTTGTTAGTGTTAATAACAGTGTTTCAGACTGGCCTAATCATTTATTCAGTGTCCTGTTACCGGTGAGCGTCAGATTCTTTCCTTCTTCCACCTTTTTGTAAATGTCAGCCAAGTACTTTCCTTCCACTAAAATGTAGTCTCCAAGTGGAATTTGGGACCATGCTGTGGCAGTGAAGTTAGGCTTTTGCAGGAATGGAAGACAAATAATAATTACAGTGAGAAAGGACATTTGGATTGAGATTGACCAGGATTCTGATTTTAATGTAAGTTTTTCTTAAACACTGCATGCCATATTTTAAGGTTCCCTCTGCATCTGTTTTAAAAGCCAAGACTATTCAGCAGAAGTTACTGCTCTCTCTGCACTACCTGCACAAACCAAGTCTAGTTGAGCTTTGACAAGACACCATTCCAAATCAGCTTATGTCTGAGTCTGAGAGGAAGGGTAATTCTTTCCAGCATAAGAAAGCTAGTAAGCCTGGTCAGCCACTCATTCCAGAAGGAACTGTCACCACCAAGGATATGTCAGATTAGTTTACAAGTAAAATTTATATTTGAGATTTAGTTGCTGAATGTAAAACTGAAAGTAGTGACAACTTGAGGCCCAGGTCAGAACCCAGTCATGTTGTGGCTCTAGGATGTGACCATAAAACGCAAGTGTGATCCATAAGGTAACTTTGTTGAAGGCAATTACATAAAGAAAACTGAAAGGGTGCTTGTAAAAACTACCTTTGTGACCACAGCTCCGTAATGACTGCCAGTTGTGACAACTCTTGTTCATGGTAATTCTGTCCACTCTACGTATTTTTATGTTCAGGGAGGGAAAGTGTTACTATCCAGTGTTACTATACCAGGATTATGTGCTGCTTTCAGATTTTGATACTGGATGAAGCAACAGCTGCTATGGACACAGAGACAGATTTACTGATTCAGGAGACTATCAGAGAGGCATTTGCAGACTGCACTATGTTAACAATTGCTCATCGCCTGCATACGGTACTGGGCTCTGATCGTATCATGGTGCTAACACAAGGACAGGTAAGCAGAAAGACTTCTGTGGCTGCAGTTCATGTTGCAGTCTGGTGATGCCATATGTGCAGGCTGAACTGAAGGAACAGCTAGTGCTGCAGGGTAGAAAATCCTCTGTGTTCATTCTATCCTTGGTAATAATTGCTTATTGTCTGATCGCGACAAGATCAAGGAGGGCAAAATTTCTTTTACACTCCAAGAAAGTACCAGAGAGTAAGAGTCTCTCTTTTAACACTGTTTTTAAAACTCCCTTTATAGGTTAATTCTGAGATGGGTAATAACGTCAGCATCTCTGCTGGGGCTCAGTGGCAGTTTCCCATGGCTTCCATGAAGCCCTGTGCTATCAAACAGGCATATGAGAGATGCTTTACCCACTTTGCAGGCTTCCATGTGGGAGCCGTGAACAGGTAAATCAAATGTAAGAACATTCGGCAAGGCTCTTAAAGGTAGAGAAGGCAAAACCCCATAGCATCTGCCTCTGTTTGCCGGAGCCACCAGAGGTTGCTTCCTGATGGGTAGTTCAAGTGCTTGTCTGAGTTAGTTTGAAGCATCCCAGGTTACAGTATTTATGCATAAATGCACATACTTTCACCACCTGTTGTCTCATCCAAAGATTACTGCCATGTTTTGGTTTCTTTACTACTGTGTCACAAGTCCAAGGGGTGGGAATCCATTTTCTGCTGGATTTTTACTGACATACCTTACCTGCCTTGTCTGCTTTCAGGTAGTGGAATTTGACACGCCGTCTGCCCTTCTGGCCAATGAGAACTCGCGCTTCTATGCTATGTTTGCTGCTGCGGAGAACAAGGTTGCTGTCAAGGGCTAAAATTCAGGGCAAAGTCACTTTAATTTTGGAGAGCTACACTCCCTGCCTGTGGCAGGCCAGCTCTTCTTCCTCCTACTCCTTCAAGCAGATTATTGCCTTTTCATCTTTTAATTTTTAGCACAATGTGTCAAGCCAGAGAGATTTTTAAAACCATGTCAGAAGAATTCTTCATGTTTTTATTATTGTATTTATTCCATAATCATATTACTAATTTTTTGTTATTAAATGCACTCTACAAATGGCTCAGGGAGCCATAGTTATAAATGTATCAGAGGCCTATAATGAAGCTTTATACATGTAGCTATATCTATACATAATTCTGTATATAGCCTATATTTACAGTGGAAATGTAAGCTGTTTATTTTATATTAAAATAAGCACTGTATTAATAACAGTGCATATTCTTTTCTATCATTTTTGTACAGTTTACGGTACCAGAGATCTGGCTTTGTTATCGGACTGTATCAGACACTATTTTGTCTTTTACAGTTGGTCTTTTCCTAGTGCCGGATTTTCTGTGTGTCTCAGTGGAAGTGAAGCTTTGCAATAGTGTCCTTTGTCACATCTTTGTTGTCTAGCGCAGGGGAGAAGAGCTCTGTGGTGTAACTCTATTGCATTGTAATTTATCAAAGCTATTTGGAGCATTGCTAATGTTCACCACGGCAGCAGCTGCTGCTTCCCATGATGCTTTCCCAAAGCAGGGTTTTTAGTGATCTCCTGAGTGGAGAACCACTTCTGGGTCACAGTAAGGCCTCGTATTTTCTCAGTGTCCTGATACAGTATTTCTTACTGTATCAGCAGGGTTTATTTTAATGCAAGCAAGCCCAAGCTCTTCCTGCTTCGCTGATCTAACACAACCAAAATCTAACTGTTCATGGAATGATGTCTTATAAATTAACCATAAGGTTCAAGTCATACCCTGTATGCAAGCAGGAGAGCCTTTTCAGAGTTGCTTCAGCTGACTGACTCCTTTATCTTAAAGCTAACACTCCTCAGAGGTTTAGGTTGGCTTTCATTGGCATGAGTAACACTAACTCTTTCTTCTGCTCACTTATACTAAGGTTAAACAACATCAATATTTCCTGTTTCTTTACTGCACACTTAACGAAACAGTCCCCCACCCCACGTCTTCTGGAACTTTAAACAGGTTCCTGTTGATCAGGATGTAACACTGGTGTAGGACGTCGTTTTCTTACTGTAAAGAGACCTACCTCAGGTTACTAGGTCCTGCGTAGTACGTTGCCATGATCACTGTACACCATCCCTGTTTTACGGGACCTGTGGCCCGGGTGGGCACGGTCGCTCCTATAATAGCTGTGACTTATTGAATGGTCAGCGTTGCATGTCTTTGTCAACTTGGACATTTTGTAGCCTTAGCATGTTTGCAAAATGTCTCATCAAGGCAGAAATCTGAAAAGTAAATAAAACTATTTTGGGTTTTGTAAATTTTATTGGCTTAAGTGGTTTGTTTTGGGCACATAAATCACTTCTCACCTTTTTGAGCCCTGGGGAACAGTTTTTTCAGGCTTTTTGTTTTGTTTTCTTGTCTATGCACCATGGCCTGATCTTTCTTCCTGCAGAGTGGAATTGTTTCTTTAAAAGCGTAGTGGGTAATGTTTGTGCCCTCCAGCATGGGCTTGCAATATATGTATGTTTGTGTTGAATAGTACAGGGAAGAATAATTTATAGTAAAAGCATTCAAGCCAAGTAGCGAGGGGGGAGGTCAGATGCAATACAGAAAATCCTTCTTAGGTTCAGTTTTTTTCCACTTTCTTTACCTGCAAGTGTTACTGTTTATAATGCGATGTCACTGCACAGTCACAGTAACCAGCGCTTCTACCTACCAATACCACAGGCAAATCATGGCACTAACAGACTTAGACTGCAGCTTGAAGATAGCACATAAAAGCATCATTTGTTGTAAGTCTTGTCCTAAGGAAGAATTAACTAGCACAGATCTTACCCTGCTCACAGGCTTGGATCCAAGCTTGCTCTGTGTCAGGGACTGGCTGCCATTTTGCTGAGCGTTACTCAATTCAAGGAGCAGAGTGACTGTACGTTGTGGTTAGGAAAGGCAGAAGTCATAGCTGGGTGTATCTTTGAGGCCTAAGTGTGGGGTTATTTTTTTGATCAGAAACTTGAGGACAAAAAGAAACTGGGGAGAGGCACAAGGGAGTCATAGGCCAAAGAGTAATGCCCTGCTGCTTCTCTGAAAGTAGAGCTGGGTAGAATGAAGGCTGAATACCTTAAGGGGAGAGGGAGAGAATGTGAAATGCAAGACTGTGGCTAAAACAGTTCGGTCGGTTATCATGTGCAACTCTGTGAAGGACAGGATTGTATTGGGCCCTGCAGAGCTGAGTTTATCCCACAAACTTCAGTATTTCCCTTGAAGAAAAAGGGCTAGTGTACCTAGTTCTCAAGCACCACTGGGGTCAGAATGTGGCTTCATTTTGCAGCTAAGGCTGAACTAATGGCAGTCTGGGCAAAAGGGAAGCCATCCTGATCTTGTCCTCCTTCTTCTTCCAGGCTGGGAGTTCCTTCCACTTTCCTGATGCCAGCACTGGCTCTTGCCTGGTCCAGCAGTGACCCAGTTCAGAAAGCTAACTTGCAGAAAGTTCACCCTCCAAAAGCAGGACCGCTGTACAAAGGAGACAGGAAGGCACACCTGGAAGGGAGGTGAAGTGGGGCTGCTCTTTTCAGTAGGTGCTAACTGTAACACTAGCATGGGTATGAGGAAACTGCACTCAGGATTCATTGCACCGAACTGTTGCTTCCCAGTTACGCTCTCCTAAGAAGGTGAATACTTTCGTGCCGCTTCAGCGAGTTGAAATAGTGCAACAAGGTGTCAGACAAGGGCCTGCGATGGAGCGGGTGAAGAGTCACCTGTGGACAGCAGGGATTAGCTCAACCATTTTGTTAAGCCTTAGCTCCAGCATTGTTACTTCAGGATTAAGGAGATAGAACATTTCCCTCTGGCAGTCTTTCTGCTGTAATCACTTACCTGTTTCATTTGGCACTTGTCTCACAGGCAGTACAGAAGTACTGCTTCTCACATGGGTAGCAGTACTTTTTTTATTGGCCTTCGTCCTGAATCACAGGAGCAATCTGAGGCCTGGCCCAGGGCCCTGTCACTGAAGTGGAAAGAGGAAACATCAGTATTTACAAATGCAACTGAAATACCTTTATCTTTGAAGCAGTTTACAAGAGATTAATGATGATGGGAATTTTCAGGAATTGGATCCCTTACAGCATGATATCCCAGAGAAGGCTCCATCTTGCGAGGAGTAGAATAAGACTGTGGCACTGGCACAGAGGCTTTCCTTAAAGAGATCCTACCCAAAATAGCATGGAGATAACACATCCTTCTCAGGATATGGCAAAGGCCATGGCCTGAGGCCAGCAGGTGTGCAGCTGGAGAGAGATTTGCCTGGGATAATTGGTTTGCTGTATGACCCTCGGGAATTTCAGTTGCATCGGTTTTACTTATTGTGTCCAAATGCAGTGAGTGCAGCCAATCCCGATTCATTATCATAAGCTTAGCGACTCTTAGAATATGTTCCTGCTCATCTCATCTGTCCGATGAATGGAAATGTTGTACTTGCTTGGGACTTCAACCCAAACACAGGCAGGATTCTTCTAAAATTACCCAGTGGCATTAATGTGCAGTTAGGTCAGTGTAATTAAGTCCAAAGTCAGGCCCTGAAGCTGTGCCGGCTTGAACACCTGAGGAGGCCTCACCATTACCTGCGGTGAAGATCTTACAGGGTCAGATCCCGAGGGGCTGGGACTGTGGTCTGCATATTATCCCTAGATGAAAGCCAGAGGGGGATCAAGCAGACTTAGCACATTGCTGGGAACAAAGTTTGAGAAAGCACAATTATATCAAAAGGCAAATGGTATGAGTGACAGAAGGTGTGGGAAGGAAAAGAGAAATGCTGAAAATTTGATTTCTAAAAGGAGGATGTGGAGAGAAAAGGTGGCAGGACAAAAAGTTTCTCTTGGCTAGAAGGGGACTGGGCAAAGACAAAATTGCTTCTTGGAGGTGCTTCAGAAGAACATGGTGAGAAGACGTGGGGCAGCTGTAATGCCCTTATCAACCAAAGAGCTTTTCTGAATGCTGCCTTGTTATTTTTTTTACTGCAACTGCAGTGTGTGTTTTACTATATATAAGCAATTGCACAAAGGTTTTCTTTATAATCCCAGCTTCAGGTCGGTCTAGGATAATACTGTGATTTGTTTTACTCTTGGTTCAGCTGGAGACAGCCGCCAAATTGTGCTGGGGCCACAGTTTCTGCTTTGAGTACGATGGATGATACAGCGGAGGCTCAACTGGGAAACTGTGCAGATGCTGCTGCCGCTAATGTAAGGCTTGGGAGGCTTTCAAAATGTACCCCTGTGGCTTCCTTAGACCCGCAACCGTGTAATAAATGCTCCCGTGTCATCCAAAAGACGTGCCTTGGAGACTCATCGGGCGGCTGAGGGAGGCAAAGCGTACCAGTGAAAACAACGTAGAGAAGTGTCGCTACATGGGGCAGAGATTTCCCGTACGCCGCTCGTGGGCTGCGTGGAGTTCTAATCACAGTTACTTCCAGCACACCGCCCGCCTCCAGCGTGCTGTCTCCTGCTGTGGCCAGGCAGAGGAGCACGCGGGTGTAGAGAGAGAGTAGTTTTGTGGTTTCCGTCCCGTTGAGGAGGGCAGCAGCGGTTGGTGCGTCATTGACTGCCTCCGGGAGGGCTGGGGAAGGGTAACGCGCCTCACGGCTGAGCTGGGATCTGGCAGTTTGCAGTGTGCGTTGGAGGCAGGCGACTGCGGGCAGCCACGGTGGAGGAGATTAAAAAAGAGGGGGTGAATGGGGTGCTGGGAGAAGGGAGGCCATTTAGGGTTGGACTGTCAGCTGGATGTGAGGAGTGTGACCCAGAGCGGGATGGAGGAAGCCAAAATAGGTACGGGTGGGATGAGGGCTGCATGCGTCAGCCCTGCTGGGAGCCGAGGTGGGGAGGGTTTGGGGTTGTCTTGGGGCTGGGGAGGGGGAAAGGTGAAAGCGAAGCGCGGAGGAGGCAGAGCTGGCTGTGAGGCTGCGCGAGGGCAGGGGCGATCCCCGCGGG